CCAGGCTCAGAAAATTGTCCATGCTAAGAGGAAGCCTTGTATGGCTCTGTCCACCCCTCTCTCAAGTGCACACATCACTTCTTACTTCCAGAAAATAAAAGTCATCCATGAACTGAGCCATTTCATCAACAGGCACCTCGAAATGAATCCAGTCCCGGGACACAAAGGAGCCACAATACTCCTAGATGCTCCCAATTTCCAGCCCAGAATTCCTGCTGAAAATATCCAAGGAGAATCAGATTCTGGGTGACTGGGGGTTGGGGGGGGGACACCTTCCTTCTCTAGTTCATCAGTTCATCTTCAAAGATCTGGTTTCTGGCTTACGACTCACGCAAGTGCATCCCCTCTCCATCCCAGGATTTTTGAGCTTCAAATGCCAGGTCGATACGTGTTAGATCATGTGAATATCTTCAGGCAGAAATCAACCAGTTACACCAATGAGCACACAATGCAATCTTTGGTGCAAAACTTCTGGCATTTGCTGGGCTTCGTGGAAATGCCATGTGGAAACAATATCCCTTCTAAGTTGGTTTTGTTCAGTGTAGATTACGGGAAGAGGGTCAGGCAGTGTTTACAAGCGCTGCAGAGACTGAATCATCAACAAAGATCAGAGAAGAGGGAGCCAGGGGAGAGCCTGAAGCCAAGGAGGGCAGGAGCCAAGCCACTGAGCTGGTATGTAATGCAGAGAATGTCGCTGTTCTCTCACTGGTGGCCTGAATGCTGTTTCTCATCCCTGGAAGGAAGCAGGGTTATCAAAGCCCTCTCACCCCCCAACCTGTAACAATTCAGCTCCCCCTATCCCCCGTTTCCCTCTGAATCCACCTCCAGGCGAGAAGGTGGATAAATCCTTGCAGAGAAACAGGGGTTCAGCAGCCGCAGAGAGACCGAGTGAGGCCACCGGTCCAGCCTGTACCTCCTGATCCAGACAGCAGGCCATGGGTCAGCAGGAAGCTCTTGTCCTTAGCACCATGATTGGTTCTGAGAAAACACTTGCAGAAGCAGACCCCTCTGGGTTGAGGACTCAGAACTTGGGACTCAGAAGAACTGAACAAATGTTAAGGAGGACATCCCCATGCCAGTCATGGATTCCCCAGACCCCAACCTCTGGCTCCTGACAATGTAAGTGATCTAAAAAAAAGGGGGGGGGGTGGTCTACATCTCAGGACGGACCTCACAAAGCCAAAATCTGCTGAAAATTCTGGTATGTGGGTTTTGTGACTGAAATCTCCAGGCCTTCTTGAGGTTGGGATGGGCTACCTCCCCCCACCTCCCTGTACTTCAAGAATCCTCTGCAGTCTACATCCACACCCCAAAGCTGCCCACCCAGTTATTCCAGCCTTACCGTCCTGATAAAAATACTGAATGCTCCAAACAAACACCGTGACCTCTTAGTACTTTATTGCAAATCATAATGCACAAAAGGAAAAGGAGAGAGAGAGCAAGAAGGAAAGTGCCCTCCCATAGAGGGAGGCTGGGGGTGTGGAGTGGGGTGTTAGGGATGGTGGGAGAGAAATAGGGGACATTGGTGGTGGGAAATGTACACTGGCTAGGGATGGGTGCTGGATCATTGTATGACTGTATGAGTGCTGGATCATTGTATGACTGAAACTCAATTATGAACAGCTATGTAATGATCTACCTCACAGATATTCAATTAAAAAATTTTTAAGTAATGTGGGGTTCATGCCCATTTCAGTCAGTTTTATCAGTGGCTGACTAAATAGCAGTACTCCTACATTTAAAAAAAAAGTGGTATGCATGGATGGGGCTGGGGAGGTGTTCTTCGTCAAAGTGACTTACTCGAGAGTCTTGAAATAGGAAGATAATCCAGAACAACCTAGGTGGGCCCCACACACAGTCATCTGAGGGAGGTGGAATGGGAGGGCTCCCCCAAAGGCCAAGAGGATGTGCTATGAAGAGGCGCCAGGAGGTTGGGGTTCCATCCTCAGCACCACATGGACCCCAACCAAGCACCTCCAGGAGACATCCCCTTCCCTCCAACCAGTCTCTGAGTGAGCACTGAGCATCACCAGGTATGTCCTGTCCAAAGCTAAGAAGGAAGACATCTGCCCCCTAAACCTCCAGCACAGGTAACAGCCAACAGTTCCTGATCATGGCCCAGAGACACAAGCCCCACCTCTGGGCTCCAACACTGAGAAGAAATCTCTATTGGCAGGGGAGGTGGGAGAGTCTTTTGTGTCACCAGCCACAGGAAATAAGGACAAGGACCGATGTTCATTTTCCTATACTACCATACTTAGCTCTGGCTGCCCTCACCCAACCACCCAACGGGACCACAGGAGAGACCAGGGAACTGGGTGCTGTAAGAGCCCCCTCCCAGGCGGTGGTAACCCCCAACAGACAGGCCTGAACCCAGAGAGGTGCTTGCTCAGCCCAGAGGAGGAAGCTGGCCCCTGACCCAGAAGGGGGCACTGGCTGGGTGAGCCCCCCAAACCCCCACTCCCAGCAAGGCCTGCAGGCTCCTGAGCGCTGCAGGGACAGATGGGCCCCCGTGGTGGGAAGTTCCAGCACAGAGCCTGTGTAAGGCCAGCGCTACCCCGTAAGTCCATCCAAGAAACGGAGATGGCACATCACGGGGCAAAGGCTCCCAAAGGCACGACAAGATGCCAGCCTGCGGTGGGGGTGCCTGGTCCTGACGGACTATGGGGAGCAGGGCAGGAGAAGAGGAAACAAGGAAAGAAGAAAGGGGAGCAGAGAAGGGGGAAAAAAGAAGACACCAGCTCCCAGAGTCGCAAGGACCACACCCCTGGCTGGTCTGGGATGCCCCCTCCAGTGACTCCCCGCAGGTCCGCTTAGATGGTGCCCTTCCCAATACAGTTTCCTCGCTCCCCAAGATCAGGGAGCAGCCCCTGCAGAGCTCATGGGGCCCGACCAGGTCCGAGGTCACCTGTAAGCCTGACTGTCAGGGCTGGAGGAGCCCCAGGCTGAGGGTAGACTGTGAGGATAAACTTGGGAGAGTCCGGCTGCTTCTCCCAACGCTTTGGGGTTTGCAGTGTGGAGCCCACAGGGCTGGGTGGGTTAGGTCTGGGTGGGCTTCATGTCCCTAAGAACTTAGCAGTGTCAGGCCCAAGGACATACACGCAACCCCCATACAGTACAGGGGGTGGGGTGCTGAGTGGGAAGACGAACACCCAGATCCCCACCCAGTCATCTTTCCCGGGGTCTCCTCGGGGTCCTCCCTAACCTCTCTTGAGTCTCGGCTTCCCCTTTTGGAAAAGGTGAGAGAAGCAGAGGGGAATTCCCCTGGATCCTGCCCCCCACATCCCACCCTACCCGCACAGGGTGAGATTTCAGGAGACTCTAAGGAAAGCACTTGTTATCTATAAAACACCTCTAATATTGGGGCGTCTCTATGGCTAAAGCTGGGGAGCCTTCTCCGAAGGCGGCTCTGACTTCCTGAGGGTGGGAAATCTCAAGTACAAGCAAGGGGAGAACCTGCCCCTACCCCCACCCCACTCCACACACACACACGTACACCCCTACTCTGGCCCAGCCATGTCCCCGTGACTGGCCACAGCCTGTCCTGGCAGCCAGAAAGGCCCGGGCTTTGCAGCGGGAACCTGGCAGGCCTCACCCACACTGGCAGTGCCCAGGGCCGGAGACCACGAAGGCCATTGGCCATATGTCTCACATTTAAAAGTCATAAATCAAGCTAACAAACCGTTAAATGAAATATGCTCCAGCCTCCTACCTTGTTAAGTACATCTCCCTAACAGCCCTGTGAGGCGGGGTGCAACGGAGAGGCCGGGACTCTCTGGGACTCTGTGCCAGGGCACAGTGCGCGGTGAGGGCATGAGTGTGCCACCCCTACCTTCCCCAGGGCCCTGCTCAGTCCTGGGGGGGGGCACTGGCCCCCGCCTGTAGTCCCTAGATCCCAGCCTGTCCTTAACCCCCACCCTCACGCTCCAGTCATTCCCGGGGCTCGGGGCCCGGGTCTGGGAGGGACTGGGGCTGGGAGGGAAGCGTGGGGGGGCTCTCTGGACTCAGGGAAGCTGCCCCACTGGCCTGGCCTGGCCTGGCTACTCTCCCTGGCTGAGTCAAGGACTCTGGCTCTACAGGCTCACGGGGTGGCTCCCACCTGGGTCTCAGGGGAGTTCTCCCACTGGGCTGTCTCGGGGAGCCACAGCCCCTCTCCCCACTCCACTTCCTCAACAGCCTGGGAAGGGTGGCATGACCAAGCTCCGAAACAGTGGCCAGCAGGTGCTGAGAGCAGGCGGCTGCCCCGAGTCCTGGACACATGTGCGGCCAGTCTAGGAACTCAGAATAAGATGGTGCCAGACATCAAAGGCCGGGACAGCTGCCACGGGGGCCTCAGTACCCACCCCCCTCCACACTCCACACACACACATGCACATACTCACTTTGAGTTACTTTTTAAACACCAAAGCACAACATCTAGGGTGCCCCTGGTGGGACGAGAGTCCTCGGCACCTTGTGTTGTGACTTGGGTGCCACCCCCTGGCAAGGAGGATGGGGGGGTCTCTATGCCAGATGTCTTGAAAGAGAGTGTCACCAGCCCCAGGGGCCTGGGGTTCTGTGGGCATAGGAGGCTGCACTGAGAATCAAGGGACCTTCCACCAATTTCCTGTATGCCCTGAACACAGCCCCACCCCCACCTCAATCAGGTTTCTGGGACCACCAGGGGGTGGGGGGCCTGGTATTCACCTCACACAGGCTGGGAGATGACAGGTCAGGGTCACTCGGCACCAGCCTGGTGGCCCCCAGCCAGTTCTTGAACCGCTCTACTATCAAGTGACAATTGAGGACCACCCCGCCACACACACTTTCTCAGAGGGGACCTGAGGCCACTGGCAGGCAGACTAGAGAGACAGTCCTCAGAACACAAAGCTCTGCCTGAAGAATTTAGCTCTGTTTCTCGGGAGAACTGAGGTCACCGGCGCTGTTGGTGGGAACCCCCCAAGCCCCGAACCCCATCCGCAGAGTGATGCGGGGGTCACCGACAGACAGTACGAACTTACCGGGCACCATCCCTGTCAGCGTGGGCGCCGAGTAGCTGCCCTGTCCAGCGGGGGGCACGTGTGGAGGGTACCCAGGGAGGGTCGTGCTCGCCAAGTCACGGCCTGTGGAATCAAAGCAACAAATCACAGCGTGAGCATCTCTGAGGTCCCCAGCATTGCCCCCTGCCCCCAGCTCCAACACACACACACACACACACACACACACACACACACACACACACGTACATGCAAAAACACACAAATGCACAGGCTCACATATATACACCTCTGTGTACAAATATACACACTGCACAGACACACGCAACACACACCAACATACTGATGCCTACACATGTACACATACATGCACAGATGCCAGAGCCAGGAGTCAGTCCTGAGCACAAACTAAAACCAAAACTCTCCAACCACACACAAGCCCCAAGAAGCAACTTAAAGGAGAGTCCCCAGCCCAGTCACCGCCCTGCCCCAGGCCTTCTCTCTCAGCTCGAAAAGGATCTCAGCTGGGTCTCAGCTGGGGGTGGGCGCCCCAGGTGCTCACGGCTGAGGCTGCAGTGTTGGGCAAAAGGGAGAGTGGCTGGGCTGGGAAGCAGGAGCTCTGTGGAGGCCGTAGAGTCCCTCCTCTGCGGTCACCAGGGCTCGTGGGGTTCTTCCTCACCACTGTAGGCATCTCTCAGATGGGAAGACCGAGCACCATGGTAAGGGTGGGGTGGTGACCAACTCAGGCCTACAGGGGCCCACAGGGGCCTGGGCCTATTTGCAGACACCAACCCGGACATGTAAGCAGCATCATGGTGGGTGAATTCATAGAATCTTCTCCACATGCGTTACAGGGAGTAGGGGCTGGAAGGCAGCTAAAGAGGCATCAGGGAAGCAGGCTGGACCCAAGTGTCAGACCACTTACATGGTCTCTGTAAGAGGGAAGTGTGGAGGCCAGGCTGAGACAGGAGAAGATGGAGTGGGAGCAGATGGCCCAACAGCTTCCTGCAGCCCAGCCCCAGGCTCACATGCCCTGCCCCTGAGGAAGACCCAGCAAATCCACAGGTTCCTAGAGAAGTGACAGGTCTCTGACCGTGTTCTGAGGACTGTGAACGGTTCACCCTTGTGACCCTCCAGCACCCTACTAGGCCATGGGCTATGCAATGCTGTCCCCAATTGTATGGAAGGGTTGAGTGATTTATCCAAGACGGGACAGCGAGAGCCAAGATTTGAACCCATTTGAATCCCTGGTCAAAGTTCATACTTTATTGTTTTGGGGTCACACACAGTCCGGAACAAACTGGGAGTTGTTCCAGGGGCACCACATGGTGCTGAGGATCAAACCCAGGACTTCTGCGTACAAAGTCTGTGCCCAACCCATTGGGCTCTCTAGCCCAAAGTTCATACTTTTATTTTATTTTGGGGGTGCGTAGAGCCACACCCCATGGGGCTCAGGGCTGACGCCTGTCTCCTCTGCACTCAGGAATCACTCCTGGTGGGGTTCACAAGACCGTATGAGATGCTGGGGGTCAAACCAGGGTCAGTTGCAAGAAAGGTAAGCACCCGATCTACTCCAGTCCCCCACCAGCATGCATGTTGGTTCATGCATTTAAAGACCCTCCTCCTGGCACACAGACCCACTTATGCAAGCGACCATGAGTCCAGTGATCCTACGGTTACCCCAGTGGGGACCTCTCACCTGTGAACCTCACTGTCCCCATTGCTCAATGCTCCAAGGTGCAGGAGGAAGTTGAGCCACACAGTTTGGGGGAATCTATAGGTTCTGGGGGGTAGGAGAGGGAAGTCGGATGCGCCAGCTAGAAATGGAGGATGCCAAAGTGCCCAGAGACAGGCTGGTGCAGGGGAGCTGCTGGGGGAGAGTCAGGTCCTGAGAAGGACCCCCTGCCTCACAAGACTGGCTTCTTTCCTCAATGGCCTACAGAACCCCCACGGTTTCTGCCACCCCAGCATTTAGCCCTGGATTCCTTCTGATGTAGGCAGACAGGTAGATAGGGAAGGCCCCTCCTCAGGCGATCGCAGTAAATTTCCTAGGAAGTAAGAGCTCTGAAGTTGCAAAGGCCAAACTTGCAGAAAACAGAAACAAAGACTGATAAGACCCTCACCTGGTGCCAGTTAATGAACCCTGAGAAGATTGGATTCCTCCCCATGAAGAAAATTCCTCGAATACCCTCAGACCTCTCCCTTAATCTGATTAACTTTAGTGACTCAGCCCAGAGAAGACTTCAGAATATTCCAGACCAAGGCATCCCGAGAAGATACTCTATAAAGCCATCTTGAACAAAGGAGAGGCACGCATATGCTGCCCGAGCCCATATCTTCTTGTGCCCACATGGCCAAGCACATGTGTCACCCGCATCGCCTCTCTTGAGATGTGTACTTTCATGCTTTCATGTCTATAATGCTGGCATGTATGTAGGAGCTCTCTCCACCTTTGGAGACGTCCAGGTTCTCTCTTGAGCACATTACTCTCCACTCTCTCCCACTTTCTCTTCTTCCTTCCCTTCAAAACCTCCAAATAAAATCTGTTTACTTCACTGCTTGTCTACTCCTGAAATTCTTTTCTGCAAGGCGAGACAAGAACCCAGTAACCCTGGGTCCCAGGTGGCAGAGGTGGATTGGGAGAAAATGATCTTTCTCCTCCCCATTTCACATAAGTCACCCATGGGGCCCACTAACATCCACTAAACACAAAAACACAAAAACATGGATGCATGCACACGTATGTTCACTGCAGCACTTTGTACAATCATCAAGATATAGAAACAACCCAAACGTCCAACTACACAGACAAATGGATCAAAAAGTTGTGGCATATACACACAATGGAATCCTATGCCTCTCTAAGCGAGAACAAGGCCAGGTAATATGCTGAGATTTGGACGGAACTGGAGGCCATGCTGAGTGAAGTCAGTTGGGATGAAAGGATCGAGGGCTGGAGAGAGCATGGCAGTAGGGCGCCTGCCTTAGAACATAGTTAAATACAGGATCAAATTAGACTTATATTCCAGATATGTGAGAAGTCTCGGGAGGAATTAGTATTGAGTTATGCATGAGTATTGGTAACGTAGTAGCCTTTCCCACTGCTTGGATTTACACATATGTTTTTTCTCCTTTGACAAACTAGTATGATTTTCCAAACAGTACTTTTTTATCATCACATACCTGCAGAGTCTGAGAAATAGCACCTCCTTGCCCTCTTGCATTGCTGAGAACTCCTGGGAGCCCTTGTCCCACCCCTCGCCCCCAATAAAAGGAGGAGAAGGAGGTGGAGGAGGAGGAGGAGGAGGAGGAGGAGGAGGAGGAGGGTTGGTGGAGGAGGAGAAGGAGGAGGAGGAGGAGGGTTGGCAGAGGAGGAGGAGGGTTGGTGGAGGAGGAAGAGGAGGAGGGTTGGCGGAGGAGGAGGAGGAGAAGGAAGAGGAGGAGGAGGGTTGGCGGAGGAGGAGAAGGAGGAGGAGGAGGGTTGGCGGAGGAGGAGAAGGAGGAGGAGGAGGGTTGGCGGAGGAGGAGGAGGAGAAGGAAGAGGAGGAGGAGGGTTGGCGGAGGAGGAGAAGGAGGAGGAGGAGGGTTGGCGGAGAAGGAGGAGGAGGAGGAGGACGAGGGTTGGTGGCGGAGGAGGTGGAGGGTTGGCAGAGGAGGAGGAGGAGGAGGGTTGGCAGAGGAGGAGGAGGAGGAGGGTTGGCAGAGGAGGAGGAGGAGGGTTGGCGGCGGAGGAGGAGGGTTGGCGGAGGAGGAGAAGGAGGAGGAGGAGGGTTGGCGGAGGAGGAGGAGGAGGAGGAGGAGGAGGGTTGGTGGCGGAGGAGGTGGAGGGTTGGCGGAGGAGGAGGAGGAGGAGGAGGAGGAGGGTTGGCGGAGGAGGAGGAGAAGGAGGAGGGTTGGAGGAGGAGGAGGGTTGGTGGAGGAGGAGAAGGAGGAGGAGGAGGTGGGTTGGCGGAGGAGGAGAAGGAGGAGGAGGAGGAGGAGGAGGAGGAGGAGGAGGAGGAGGTTGTTTTACAACTGCTCAGCCTAGCTGGAAAGCTGCCTTCTGGCCCCATCCCTCACCGGGCCACCTCTGTGATAACAGTGAGTCCACACTGATGGGCAGTGGGTGGGAGTGGGGAGTTGAGAAGCATCTGTGAAACCCACAGTAGGAGTGCCCACCTCAAGGGCTGCTGGACAGACTACTCACCCCACCCCTCTCGCCACCCGTCCTGTGAGCATCTGGGGAAACAAATGGACTAGGAGAGGTTCAAAGGGCTCTCCCCTTGCCCTGCATGTGGGAACTTAGAATTCAATCCCTGGCACCACAGGGTTACCCCCAGCACCTCTGGGAGCATCCTCCAAGTGTTGAACTGGGAGCAGCACCCAAGCTCTGCTATATTTATATTTGGTCCCAAAAGCAGAAAGAAAAAGAAAGAACTAGATATGAAAATTTGGTTCAACGTGAGGGGAAATGACTTTTAGCATTACTGGTGACATATGATAAAATTGAAAACTTAATAAAACAAATTGACTTTAATCAATTTTAACAGGAGTTTTCTCCTATTCATGGCCTGGACATGCATCTTGGCCGAACTGTATGTGGCCCTTCTCCTTCCAGAGCAAATAATGAGGAGTTTACATGGAACTTTTGCCCAGACTGAGAACATACCTTCAGAAGAGACAGGCATGCTTAAAATGACACTCTTTTCAGGGCCAAGAGACAGTACAGGGGGCTGGAGAGACAGCAGAGCAGGTAGGGCACTTGCTTTGCACATACCAAACCTGGGTTCTATCCCAACATCCCATATGGTCCCCCGAGCACCACAGGGAGGAATTTCTGAGTAAAGAGACAGGAACAATCCCTGAGCAGCACCAACTGTAACCCAAAAACTAAAAAGAAGAAAGGAAAGAAAGAAGGAAGGAAGGAAGGAAGGAAGGAAGGAAGGAAGGAAGGAAGGAAGGAAGGAGAAAAGAGAGAGGGAGGATGGAGGAAGGGAGAGAGAGAGAGAGAGAGAGAGAGAAAGGGTGAATGCCTGGCATGCTCCCAACCCAAGTTTGGTTACAGGCACTACATGGTCCTCTGAGCACACTGGGTACATCCCTGGAGGTTCCAAGCACCACCAGGTGGCCCAGGTAATCCTGTCACC